TTGGGTCGCTGCGAGCAAGATGCGGCAGGGAAAGATGGTTTTGTGGACTGGCAGCATGGTTGCGCTTCAATCAGACTGCAGTGGATGGCCTACTTGGCTGGAGCAGTTCTTTTGGGGGCAGAGGAAGCATGGCCACGCAGCACACAGACAAGGAGCTTGCTCCTCACAAAGCTGCGGGGAAAGTCCTCGTGCCCTTGGGCAGAGAGTGCCACTGGGAGACCAGCAGGCCTGGGTTCAGGAGCTTACAGCGAAGCTTTTTGCAGAGGTGTGGTTCCTGAGCACTGGCCACTTGCAGCAGCAAAGTTATGCCATGAGCGTTTTTGCAACGCCAACTGAACGAGGCTCACTCTCCTGATGCCCCCTTTTGGAATTGCCTGGCTTGTCGGGTGTCTATATGCAGTTACTGCTTCAGATGGGTTGTAAGGGTCCTGCAGGATCAGATGATGCGGTGCATAGGTTGAAACTTTGGGTCGCAGTGAGCAACATGCGGCAGGGAAAGATGGTTTTGCGACTGGCAGCATGGTTACGCTTCAATCAGACTGCAGTGGATGGACGGCCAAGTGCTGGAGCAGTTCTTTTGGGGGCAGAGGAAGCATGGCCACACAGCACACACACAAGGAGCTTGCTCCTCACAAAGCTGCGGGGAAAGTCCTCGTGCCCTTGGGCAGAGAGTGCCACTGGGAGACCAGCAGGCCTGGGTTCAGGAGCTTACAGCACAGCTTTTTGCAGAGGTGTGGTTCCTGAGCACTGGCCACTTGCAGCAGCAAAGTCATGCCATGAGCGTTTTTGCAATGTCAACTGAACGAGGCTCACTCTCCTGATGCCCCCTTTTGGAATTGCCTGGCTTGTCGGGTGTCTATATGCAGTTTACTGCTTCAGATGGGTTGGTTGTAAGGGTCCTGCAGGATCAGATGATGCGTTGCATATGTTGAAACTTTGGGTCGCTGCGAGCAAGATGCGGCAAGGAAAGATGGTTTTGTGGACTGGCAGCATGGTTGCGCTTCAATCAGACTGCAGTGGATGGCCTACTTGGCTGCAGCAATTCTTTTGGGGGCAGAGGAAGCATGGCCACGCAGCACACAGACAAGGAGCTTGCTCCTCACAAAGCTGCGGGGAAAGTCCTCGTGCCCTTGGGCAGAGAGTGCCACTGGGAGACCCAGCAGGCCTGGGTTCAGGAGCTTACAGCGAAGCTTTTTGCAGAGGTGTGGTTCCTGAGCACTGGCCGCTTGCAGCAGCAAAGTTATGCCATGAGCGTTTTTGCAACGCCAACTGAACGAGGCTCACTCTCCTGATGCCCCTTTTGGAATTGCCTGGCTTGTCGGGTGTCTATATGCAGTTTACTGCTTCAGATGGGTTGTAAGGGTCCTGCAGGATCAGATGATGCGGTGCATAGGTTGAAACTTTGGGTCGCAGTGAGCAACATGCGGCAGGGAAAGATGGTTTTGCGGCAGCATGGTTGCGCTTCAATCAGACTGCAGTGGATGGCCTACTTGGCTGGAGCAGTTCTTTTGGGGGCAGAGGAAGCATGGCCACGCAGCACACAGACAAGGAGCTTGCTCCTCACAAAGCTGCGGGGAAAGTCCTCGTGCCCTTGGGCAGAGAGTGCCACTGGGAGACCAGCAGGCCTGGGTTCAGGAGCTTACAGCGAAGCTTCTTGCAGAGGTGTGGTTCCTGAGCACTGGTCGCTTGCAGCAGCAAAGTTATGCCATGAGCGTTTTTGCAACGCCAACTGAACGAGGCTCACTCTCCTGATGCCCCCTTTTGGAATTGCCTGGCTTTTCGGGTGTCTATATGCAGTTTACTGCTTCAGATGGGTTGTAAGGGTCCTGCAGGATCAGATGATGCTGTGCATATGTTGAGACTTTGGGTCGCTGCGAGCAAGATGCGGCCGGGAAAGATGGTTTGTGGACTGGCAGCATGGTTGCGCTTCAATCAGACTGCAGTGGATGGAAGGCCTACTTGGCTGGAGCAGTTCTTTTGGGGGCAGAGGAAGCATGGCCACGCAGCACACAGACAAGGAGCTTGCTCCTCACAAAGCTGCGGGGAAAGTCCTCCTGCCCTTGGGCACAGAGTGCCACTGGGAGACCAGCAGGCCTGGGTTCAGGAGCTTACAGCGAAGCTTTTTGCAGAGGTGTGGTTCCTGAGCACTGGCCACTTGCAGCAGCAAAGTTATGCTATGAGCGTTTTTGCAACGCCAACTGAACGAGGCTCACTCTCCTGATGCCCCCTTTTGGAATTGCCTGGCTTGTCGGGTGTCTATATGCAGTTTACTGCTTCAGATGGGTTGGTTGTAAGGGTCCTGCAGGATCAGATGATGCGATGTATATGTTGAAACTTTGGGTCGCTGCGAGCAACATGCTGCAGGGAAAGATGGTTTTGCGACTGGCAGCATGGTTGCGCTTCAATAAGACTGCAGTGGATGGCCTACTTGGCTGGAGCAGTTCTTTTGGGGGCAGAGGAAGCATGGCCACGCAGCACACAGACAAGGAGCTTGCTCCTCACAAAGCTGCGGGGAAAGTCCTCGTGCCCTTGGGCAGAGAGTGCCACTGGGAGACCAGCAGGCCTGGGTTCAGGAGCTTACAGCGAAGCTTTTTGCAGAGGTGTGGTTCCTGAGCACTGGCCACTTGCAGCAAAGTTATGCCATGAGCGTTTTTGCAACGCCAACTGAACGAGGCTCACTCTCCTGATGCCCCCTTTGGAATTGCCTGGCTTGTCGGGTGTCTATGCAGTTTACGCTTCAGATGATTTGTAAGGGTCCTGCAGGATCAGATGATGCGGTGATATGTTGAAACTTTGGGTCGCTGAGCAACATGCTGCAGGGAAAGATGGTTTGTGGACTGTTTGCATGGTTGCGCTTCAAAACAGGCCAGTGGAGGCCTACTTGGCTGGAGCAGTTCTTTTGGGGGCGGAGGAAGCATGGCCACGCAGCACACAGACAAGGAGCTTGCTCCTCACAAAGCTGCGGGGAAAGTCCTCGTGCCCTTGGGCAGAGAGTGCCACTGGGAGACCAGCAGGCCTGGGTTCAGGAGCTTACAGCGAAGCTTTTTGCAGAGGTGTGGTTCCTGAGCACTGGCCACTTGCAGCCGCAAAGTTATGCCATGAGCGTTTTTGCAACGCCAACTGAACGAGGCTCACTCTCCTGATGCCCCCTTTTGGAATTGCCTGGCTTGTCGGGTGTCTATATGCAGTTTACTGCTTCAGATGGGTTGTAAGGGTCCTGCAGGATCAGATGATGCGATGCATATGTTGAGACTTTGGGTCGCTGCGAGCAACATGCTGCAGGGAAGGATGGTTTTGCGACTGGCAGCATGGTTGCGCTTCAATCAGACTGCAGTGGATGGCCTACTTGGCTGGAGTTCTTTTGGGGGCAGAGGAAGCATGGCCACGCAGCACACAGACAAGGAGCTTGCTCCTCACAAAGCTGCGGGGAAAGTCCTCGTGCCCTTGGGCAGAGAGTGCCACTGGGAGACCAGCAGGCCTGGGTTCAGGAGCTTGGCGAAGCTTTTGCAGAGGTGTGGTTCCTGAGCACTGGCCACTTGCAGCAGCAAATTATGCCATGAGCGTTTTTGCAACGCCAACTGAACGAGGCTCACTCTCCTGATGCCCCCTTTTGGAATTGCCTGGCTTGTCGGGTGTCTATATGCAGTTTACTGCTTCAGATGGGTTGGTTGTAAGGGTTCTGCAGGATCAGATGATGCGATGATATGTTGAAACTTTGGGTCGCTGAGAGCAACATGCGGCAGGGAAGATGGTTTTGCGACTGGCAGCATGGTTGCGCTTCAATAGACTTGCAGTGGATGGCCTACTTGGCTGGAGCAGTTCTTTTGGGGGCAGAGGAAGCATGGCCACGCAGCACACAGACAAGGAGCTTGCTCCTCACAAAGCTGCGGGGAAAGTCCTCGTGCCCTTGGGCAGAGAGTGCCACTGGGAGACCAGCAGGCCTGGGTTCAGGAGCTTACAGCGAAGCTTTTTGCAGAGGTGTGGTTCCTGAGCACTGACCACTTGCAGCAGCAAAGTTATGCCATGAGCGTTTTTGCAACGCCAACTGAACGAGGCTCACTCTCCTCATGCCCCCTTTTGGAATTGCCTGGCTTGTCGGGTGTCTATATGCAGTTTACTGCTTCAGATGGGTTGGTTGTAAGGGTTCTGCAGGATCAGATGATGCGATGATATGTTGAAACTTTGGGTCGCTGCGAGCAAGATGCGGCAGGGAAAGATGGTTTTGTGGACTGGCAGCATGGTTGCGCTTCAATCAGACTGCAGTGGATGGCCTACTTGGCTGGAGCAGTTCTTTTGGGGGCAGAGGAAGCATGGCCACGCAGCACACAGACAAGGAGCTTGCTCCTCACAAAGCTGTGGGGAAAGTCCTCGTGCCCTTGGGCAGAGAGTGCCACTGGGAGACCAGCAGGCCTGGGTTCAGGAGCTTACAGCGAAGCTTTTTGCAGAGGTGTGGTTCCTGAGCACTGGCCACTTGCAGCAGCAAAGTTATGCCATGAGCGTTTTTGCAACGCCAACTGAACGAGGCTCACTCTCCTGATGCCCCCTTTTGGAATTGCCTGGCTTGTCGGGTGTCTCTATGCAGTTTACTGCTTCAGAAGGGTTGGTTGTAAGGGTCCTGCAGGATCAGATGATGCGATGCATATGTTGAAACTTTGGGTCGCTGCGAGCAACATGCGGCAGGGAAAAGATGGTTTTGCGACTGGCAGCATGGATCAGACTGCAGTGGATGGATGGCCTACTTGGCTGGAGCAGTTCTTTTGGGGGCAGAGGAAGCATGGCCACGCAGCACACAGACAAGGAGCTTGCTCCTCACAAAGCTGCGGGGAAAGTCCTCGTGCCCTTGGGCAGAGAGTGCCACTGGGAGACCAGCAGGCCTGGGTTCAGGAGCTTACAGCGAAGCTTTTTGCAGAGGTGTGGTTCCTGAGCACTGGCCACTTGCAGCCGCAAAGTTATGCCATGAGCGTTTTTGCAACGCCAACTGAACGAGGCTCACTCTCCTGATGCCCCCTTTTGGAATTGCCTGGCTTGTCGGGTGTCTCTATGCAGTTTACTGCTTCAGAAGGGTTGGTTGTAAGGGTCCTGCAGGATCAGATGATGCGATGCATATGTTGAAACTTTGGGTCGCTGCGAGCAACATGCGGCAGGGAAAAGATGGTTTTGCGACTGGCAGCATGGATCAGACTGCAGTGGATGGATGGCCTACTTGGCTGGAGCAGTTCTTTTGGGGGCAGAGGAAGCATGGCCACGCAGCACACAGACAAGGAGCTTGCTCCTCACAAAGCTGCGGGGAAAGTCCTCGTGCCCTTGAGCAGAGAGTGCCACTGGGAGACCAGCAGGCCTGGGTTCAGGAGCTTACAGCGAAGCTTTTTGCAGAGGTGTGGTTCCTGAGCACTGGCCACTTGCAGCAGCAAAGTTATGCCATGAGCGTTTTTGCAACGCCAACTGAACGAGGCTCACTCTCCTGATGCCCCCTTTCGGAATTGCCCGGCTTGTCGGGTGTCTATATGCAGTTTACTGCTTCAGATGGGTTGTAAGGGTCCTGCAGGATCAGATGATGCGATGATATGTTGAAACTTTGGGTCGCTGCGAGCAGCATGCTGCAGGGAAAGATGGTTTTGTGGACTGGCAGCATGGTTGCGCTTCAATCAGACTGCAGTGGATGGCCTACTTGGCTGGAGCAGTTCTTTTGGGGGCAGAGGAAGCATGGCCACGCAGCACACAGACAAGGAGCTTGCTCCTCACAAAGCTGTGGGGAAAGTCCTCGTGCCCTTGGGCAGAGAGTGCCACTGGGAGACCAGCAGGCCTGGGTTCAGGAGCTTACAGCGAAGCTTTTTGCAGAGGTGTGGTTCCTGAGCACTGGCCACTTGCAGCAGCAAAGTTATGCCATGAGCGTTTTTGCAACGCCAACTGAACGAGGCTCACTCTCCTGATGCCCCCTTTTGGAATTGCCTGGCTTGTCGGGTGTCTATATGCAGTTTACTGCTTCAGATGGGTTGTAAGGGTCCTGCAGGATCAGATGATGCGATGATATGTTGAAACTTTGGGTCGCTGCGAGCAACATGCTGCAGGGAAAGATGGTTTTGTGGACTGGCAGCATGGTTGCGCTTCAATCAGTCTGCAGCGGATGGAAGGCCTACTTGGCTGGAGCAGTTCTTTTGGGGGCAGAGGAAGCATGGCCACGCAGCACACAGACAAGGAGCTTGCTCCTCACAAAGCTGCGGGAAAGTCCCTGTGCCCATGGGCAGAGAGTGCCACTGGGAGACCAGCAGGCCTAGGTTCAGGGCTTACAGCGAAGCTTTGCAGAGGTGTGGTTCCTGAGCACTGGCCACTAGCAGCAGCAAAGTTATGCGAGCGTTTTGCAACGCCAACTGAAGCCGAGGCTCACTCTCCTGATGCCCCCTTTTTGGGTGCCTGGCTTGTCGGGTGTCTATATGCAGTTTACTGCTTCAGATGGGTTAGTTGTAAGGGTCCTGCAGGATCAGATGATGCGATGATATGTTGAAACTTTGGGTCGCTGCGAGCAACATGCTGCAGGGAAAGATGGTGTTGTGGACTGGCAGCATGGTTGCGCTTCAATCAGACTGCAGTGGATGGCCTACTTGGCTGGAGCAGTTTTTGATGGGGGGGAGAGGAAGCATGGCCACGCAGCACACAGACAGGAGCTTGCTCCTCCCTGGCCCCTCTTGAGGAAAGTCCTGCGTGCCCTTGGGCAGAGAGTGCCACTGGGAGACCAGCAGGCCTGGGTTCAGGGAGCTTACAGCCAGCTTTTGCAGAGGAGTGTGGTTCCTGAGCACTGGCCCACTTGCAACAGCAAAGTTATGCCATGAGCGTTTTGCAACGCCAACTGAGCGGGCTCACTCTCCTGATGCCCCCTTTCGGAATTGCCCGGCTTGTCGGGTGTCTATATGCAGTTTACTGCTTCAGATGGGTTGTAAGGGTCCTGCAGGATCAGATGATGCGATGATATGTTGAAACTTTGGGTCGCTGCGAGCAGCATGCTGCAGGGAAAGATGGTTTTGTGGACTGGCAGCATGGTTGCGCTTCAATCAGACTGCAGTGGATGGCCTACTTGGCTGGAGCAGTTCTTTTGGGGGCAGAGGAAGCATGGCCACGCAGCACACAGACAAGGAGCTTGCTCCTCACAAAGCTGCGGGGGAAGTCCTCGTGCCCTTGGGCAGAGAGTGCCACTGGGAGACCAGCAGGCCTGGGTTCAGGAGCTTACAGCGAAGCTTTTTGCAGAGGTGTGGTTCCTGAGCACTGGCCACTTGCAGCAGCAAAGTTATGCCATGAGCGTTTTTGCAACGCCAACTGAACGAGGCTCACTCTCCTGATGCCCCCTTTCGGAATTGCCCGGCTTGTCGGGTGTCTATATGCAGTTTACTGCTTCAGATGGGTTGTAAGGGTCCTGCAGGATCAGATGATGCGATGATATGTTGAAACTTTGGGTCGCTGCGAGCAGCATGCTGCAGGGAAAGATGGTTTTGTGGACTGGCAGCATGGTTGCGCTTCAATCAGACTGCAGTGGATGGCCTACTTGGCTGGAGCAGTTCTTTTTAGGGCAGAAGGCTTTATGTACGCAGCACACAGACAGGAGCTTGCTCCTCACAAAGCTGTGGGGAAAAGTCCTCGTGCCCTTGGGCAAGAGAGAGTGCCACTGGGAAACCAGCAGGCCTGGGTTCAGGAGCTTACAGCGAAGCTTTTTGCAGAGGTGTGGTTCCTGAGCACTGGCCACTTGCAGCAGCAAAGTTATGCCATGAGCGTTTTTGCAACGCCAACTGAACGAGGCTCACTCTCCTGATGCCCCCTTTTGGAATTGCCTGGCTTGTCGGGTGTCTATATGCAGTTTACTGCTTCAGATGGGTTGTAAGGGTCCTGCAGGATCAGATGATGCGATGATATGTTGAAACTTTGGGTCGCTGCGAGCAACATGCTGCAGGGAAAGATGGTTTTGTGGACTGGCAGCATGGTTGCGCTTCAATCAGACTGCAGTGGATGGCCTACTTGGCTGGAGCAGTTCTTTTGGGGGCGGAGGAAGCATGGCCACGCAGCACACAGACAAGGAGCTTGCTCCTCACAAAGCTGCGGGGAAAGTCCTCGTGCCCTTGGGCAGAGAGTGCCACTGGGAGACCAGCAGGCCTGGGTTCAGGAGCTTACAGCGAAGCTTTTTGCAGAGGTGTGGTTCCTGAGCACTGGCCACTTGCAGCCGCAAAGTTATGCCATGAGCGTTTTTGCAACGCCAACTGAACGAGGCTCACTCTCCTGATGCCCCCTTTTGGAATTGCCTGGCTTGTCGGGTGTCTATATGCAAGGACAGCCCAGTTATAGGTTGGTTGTAAGGGTCTTTGTGATTCCTGAGATGCGATGATATGTTGAAACTTTGGGTCGCTGCGAGCAGCGCACTGCAGGAAAAGATAGTTTGTGGACTGGCAGCATGGTTGCGCTTCAATCCAGACTGCAGTGGATGGCCTACTTGGCTGGAGCAGTTCTTTTGGGGGCAGAGGAAGCATGGCCACGCAGCACACAGACAAGGAGCTTGCTCCTCACAAAGCTGTGGGGAAAGTCCTCGTGCCCTTGGGCAGAGAGTGCCACTGGGAGACCAGCAGGCCTGGGTTCAGGAGCTTACAGCGAAGCTTTTTGCAGAGGTGTGGTTCCTGAGCACTGGCCACTTGCAGCAGCAAAGTTATGCCATGAGCGTTTTTGCAACGCCAACTGAACGAGGCTCACTCTCCTGATGCCCCCTTTTGGAATTGCCTGGCTTGTCGGGTGTCTATATGCAGTTTACTGCTTCAGATGGGTTGGTTGTAAGGGTCCTGCAGGATCAGATGATGCGATGTATATGTTGAAACTTTGGGTCGCTGCGAGCAACATGCGGCAGGGAAAGATGTTTTGTGGACTGGCAGCATGGTGGCGCTTCAATCAGACTGCAGTGGATGGCCTACTTGGCTGGAGCAGTTCTTTTGGGGGCAGAGGAAGCATGGCCACGCAGCACACAGACAAGGAGCTTGCTCCTCACAAAGCTGTGGGGAAAGTCCTCGTGCCCTTGGGCAGAGAGTGCCACTGGGAGACCAGCAGGCCTGGGTTCAGGAGCTTACAGCGAAGCTTTTTGCAGAGGTGTGGTTCCTGAGCACTGGCCACTTGCAGCAGCAAAGTTATGCCATGAGCGTTTTTGCAACGCCAACTGAACGAGGCTCACTCTCCTGATGCCCCCTTTTGGAATTGTCCGGCTTGTCAGGTGTCTATATGCAGTTTACTGCTTCAGAAGGGTTGGTTGTAAGGGTCCTGCAGGATCAGATGATGCGATGCATATGTTGTAACTTTGGGTCGCTGCGAGCAACATGCGGCAGGGAAAAGATGGTTTTGCGACTGGCAGCATGGATCAGACTGCAGTGGATGGATGGCCTACTTGGCTGGAGCAGTTCTTTTGGGGGCAGAGGAAGCATGGCCACGCAGCACACAGACAAGGAGCTTGCTCCTCACAAAGCTGCGGGGAAAGTCCTCGTGCCCTTGGGCAGAGAGTGCCACTGGGAGACCAGCAGGCCTGGGTTCAGGAGCTTACAGCGAAGCTTTTTGCAGAGGTGTGGTTCCTGAGCACTGGCCACTTGCAGCAGCAAAGTTATGCCATGAGCGTTTTTGCAACGCCAACTGAACGAGGCTCACTCTCCTGATGCCCCCTTTTGGAATTGCCTGGCTTGTCGGGTGTCTATATGCAGTTTACTGCTTCAGATGGGTTGGTTGTAAGGGTCCTGCAGGATCAGATGATGCGATGATATGTTGAAACTTTGGGTCGCTGCGAGCAACATGCTGCAGGGAAAGATGGTTTTGTGGACTGGCAGCATGGTTGCGCTTCAATCAGACTGCAGTGGATGGCCTACTTGGCTGGAGCAGTTCTTTTGGGGGCAGAGGAAGCATGGCCACGCAGCACACAGACAAGGAGCTTGCTCCTCACAAAGCTGCGGGGAAAGTCCTCGTGCCCTTGGGCAGAGAGTGCCACTGGGAGACCAGCAGGCCTGGGTTCAGGAGCTTACAGCGAAGCTTTTTGCAGAGGTGTGGTTCCTGAGCACTGGCCACTTGCAGCAGCAAAGTTATGCCATGAGCGTTTTTGCAACGCCAACTGAACGAGGCTCACTCTCCTGATGCCCCCTTTTGGAATTGCCCGGCTTGTCAGGTGTCTACATGCAGTTTACTGCTTCAGATGGGTTGTAAGGGTCCTGCAGGATCAGATGATGCGATGCATATGTTGAAACCTTGGGTCGCTGCGAGCAACATGCGGCAGGGAAAGATGGTTTTGTGGACTGGCAGCATGGTTGCGCTTCAATCAGACTGCAGTGGATGGCCTACTTGGCTGGAGCAGTTCTTTTGGGGGCAGAGGAAGCATGGCCACGCAGCACACAGACAAGGAGCTTGCTCCTCACAAAGCTGCGGGGAAAGTCCTCGTGCCCTTGGGCAGAGAGTGCCACTGGGAGAC